TCAACGAGCTGCCCGTCTGCATTTCCACCTCTACCCCTATGTGGACCCCGACGCAGACAGCCTGGTCCGGAAAAATCCCACATCCTTGCACAATGTCGTTCAGACGAGGAGGATGGGCTTCTCTCAGGCCCCAACAAAGCCTCGGTCGGATATTTACGTGACGATCTCCCACGCGACGTTCCCTCCAGAAGCATTGCTTTCGCATCCGCAATCTGGTCAAGTTCCGGTTCCAGGGCATACAGGTCTCCGTAACCTGCAACTAACTCTGGAGGTCCGCACATCGTCGGGGGCGCGCGTTGATCGGTGCGTTCTCCCCGCGTCCAACCATGCAGCACAGACAGCATGGCGCACCACAGTAGCCGATCGGGGTGCGCCTTGGAACCAAACCATCCGTCTCAACATCCCCACCGACCAGATCCCTGGATCGCATTTGATCATGAGTATTGCAGATGCGCCCGAGTTTCCCTTTGCGCTTGCCTGGATGCCACTGTGGGACAACCAGGCCTTCATGCGCGACGGTCCTCATTCGCTCCTATTGCATGCCTACGATAAGTATACGTCGCATATCGAGAATGGCAAGGGAGCCTATCTCTCTCTGCCATGGAGTTCGCTGGGCAAGAATGAGTCAGCGAAAGACGAGGCAATCACCGGTCCTTTGGCTACCCTGCGATTGGATACACATCTCTGCAGCACGGAATATTCACAAGATCAGGTGATACTCGGCCTTTTGAACTGGAGGGAACGACCTGTGAACGAAGTATTAGATACCCTTAAGCGTGTCCTTTTTGTCCCGGAGATCGAGATTGTGAAGCAGCTCAGCAGCGTCTTGGACTCCCTTTTCGGGATCTTGGTGGAGAATGCCGGCAATGAAGAGTACGAGGACTTGATTTTCAACGATCTCGTGACGGTTCTTGGTATTGTTCACGATCGACGGTTCAACCTGGGCCCGTTAGTTGATCACTACGCCGATAATCAATTCAACTTCCCCTTCGCTACGCCGTGTCTCGTCAGAAGCTATCTACGTCTCCTTCAGGCCAGTTCCGATGCTCAGCAGTCGCGGAATCTCCGTGCAACGTTTAAGGTAGGACGCCATGTCCTCAAGTTCATCATCAATGCCCGTCTGCAGCAGAAAGAGAAAGAGGAAGGTATTGGCATCACTAGAGTACAGTCGACGTTCAACCGGGATCTGCATACAATATTTAAGTCGCTCGAGGCCCTGATGAAAAACCCCTCGCCTGCGATGGTGGGAAATAAAACCCTCGTGGTTCAGCATTTCCACACCTGGCTCCCGGAGCTCTCGAAAGTACTCAGTCGTGATGAGGCGATCATGATCGCACTCAGCTTCATCGACTCATGCAAGGATGTCACGGGCATGCTGATACTCTATAAGCTGGTTCTCATCCAACACTACACACGGCTAGAGATATTCGGCTCAGGATCGGAGCGAAAGAGCCTGGTGTCCAGCTGTATCAGCTGGTTGGCACCCTACTGGGGTGCGACAGGTTCTGTGTCGGACCTCTACCGTGACCAGGTCCGGCTGTGTTGCGCGATCGTGGCGGAGCTGTTGAAGCAACCAGACCCGTACCTGTACGAGTTCGTGCCGAAGATTGTGTCCTCATACTATTCCATCATCCCTGACGGTGTTGAGGAGACGACCTACCTTTCTTTGCTCTTCAGCAAATCATTCCCGTTCCAGGTGAAATCGTCCAAGCACTCTCAGAAATTTGACGAAGCACTGGTGGAGCTGTCCGCAGTTCTGGCTGGAGCGGCGACGATACCCAACCCCAAGCGACCCCGGCTGAAGGGCCTGGAGCTTTCCAGTTTCCTTACACAGGCATTCGAAGTACACACTTCGATTCTCAACTGCGAAGCGTATCCTGAAAGCTGGTTCAGCGTTCATGTTTACAACCACCGGGCAACTGTCAAGAGTTTGGAGTATCTGGCAACCATTTTGACCAATAAATTCCTTCCATCCCCAGATGATGCGGAAATGTTCGATACGAGACTATGGGAGACATTCTTCATGACTTTGCTCAAGGTTGTCTCGAGTGATGCTCTTGCTCTTGAGACCTACCCCGAGCAGAAGCGACGCGCCATCTGGAAGATCGCGGGCGATGTCCGGGAACAGGGTGCGGACTTGCTGCACTCCAGCTGGGAATCAATCGGCTGGGAAACCACTGATGAGGAGAAAGAACAGTACGGGTTGAGTCGGTTGGGTGGCTATCAAGTGCAGTATGTTCCTGGCCTGGTAGCACCCATAATTGAGCTTTGTCTCAGTGTCCACGAAGGGCTACGGCACGTGGCCGTCGACATCCTACGGACGATGATTCTGAGCGAATGGGGTTTGAACCAGGATCTCTCTATAATCGAAACGGAGGTTATTTCCAGCTTGGATAACCTCTTCAAGAGGAAGAACATGAGCGAAAGTGTAGTGCAGAAACTTTTCATCGCTGAACTGTCAGATCACTTTGAAAGCTCCGCAGACTACGACGAGGACCTATCCAATGCGGTCAAGGCTCTGATCGCGACGGTGGATGAGCTGCTCGACCTCTTCGTGGCCCTTCAGGGAGGCTCGATGGCCGAGAGCCTACACACTCTTCGGTTGATGAAGTACATGAAAGACATGGGTCGTGAAGATATCTTCATCCGCTACGTCCACGAGCTCGCTCAGGTGCAGGCTGCAGCAGGAAACTTCACCGAGGCTGGCCTGGCCCTTCAATTCCATGCTGATCTATATGATTGGGATCCGAAACGGATGTTGCCTGAGCTGCTCAACCCGCCTTTCCCAGAGCAGACTTCTTTCGAGAGAAAGGAAGCCCTTTACTTTGCGGTTATTCAACACTTCGAGGACGCCAAAGCCTGGGCACATGCACTGGTGTGCTATAAGGAACTCGCGCAGCAGTACGAAGACATTGTGGTGGATTTCGCCAAGCTCTCACGAGCACACGGCTCCATGGCCAAGATTTACGATCTTATCTCAAAGGAAAGCAAGCAGTTCCCGCGGTACTTCCGTGTGCAATACAAGGGACTCGGGTTCCCTACCACTCTTCGTGATAAGCAATTCATCATCGAGTGTGCACCGACGGAGCGTATGGTCTCTTTCATTGACCGTATGCAGCGGGAGCACCCGGCTGCGCAGGTCGTGTCTTCCGGAGAAGTACATGATTACGAGGGCCAGTATCTGCACATCAATCCTGTCAGTGTTCATCGCGACGTGGATCATCCGGTCTACCAACGATCGAAGATTCCGCAGTCCGTTCGAGACCATCTTCTGGTGTCGGAGCCCTGTCACTTCAGCTCAACCTTGCGAAAGCATGTCCGTGACGTGGATGTCAAGGAGCAGTGGGTTGAGAAGACGGTTTACACCACTGCAGAGCCTTTCCCGAACATCCTCCGCAGAAGCGAGGTGATCGAGGTGAAGGAAGTTGCACTGTCGCCTTTGCATACGGCGCTCGAACGGACGTGGCGCAAGACACATGAGCTGTCCATGTTGCAGCGTCGGGCGGCCTCCGGGGAGGACACAGGCTTTAACAACCTCAGCGAGGCTTTGGAACAGTTGCTCGACCTTCACGCAGCCACCCCCAACTGTGTTGCTGCTTATCGCCCGTTCTTGTCTGATGCGCATGAAGAGGAGGAGGGTGGTCTAGTGACACCGAAGCCGGTCGACCCAATGAAGAATGCACTGGCAGTGGCCCTCATCGACCATGCCTTGGCTATCAAGCAAGCGCTGGCCTTGTACCACCGGCCGGCGCATCAGGCTACGCAAGCTGAATTGACGCGCCGTTTCGAAGAGGCATTCGGGCCGGAAATCTCTTCGCTCCGTCCGGCAGAAGTTGAACAGACGCCTCAGTGGCCTCGGCGTAGCACTCCGGAGTCCATCAAGGAGCGCCAGAAGCCGCCTGCGTCGCGGGCGCTCAGTCCCGAGCAGGAACTGATTCGCTCATCGCGGAAGAACCATAGTCGCAAGCACTCTGCCAAGCAGTCTGTCAGTCACCGGATCAGTGTCATGAACCCTTTCAAGCGCGGCAACCACGCGGCGAGCAATTCGGTGTCTACGGTGCAAGAAGACCCGAAGCCGCAGTCGGACGCCAAGGTCAATGGCGCAACCACAGAGGAGCACGTCAACGGGGAAGTCGACCAGGATGATGCAGCCACCATTCACAGCCGGACGACTACTCAGTCGCGAGACACCCATCACAAAAGACGGAGCCGATTAGGCGATGTGCTACACAAGCACGCATCGTCATTGTCGATAAGCGCCAGCGCGACTGAAGAGAGCCAGAGCCAGAAGAAGCAACGGACAAGAAGTGCTTCTCGCGACACGGCAGGCAAGTCGCACGACAGCGTGAGTCGAACCACCTCCCACACCAATGGGACATCTGCGGATGATCGGCCATCCGTAAGCAGCCATAAGGGCGGATGGTCGACGATTCCTTCGATCACCGACTACCCCCGGCCGGTGACGCGGAGCAGTGTCAATTCTGTTCGCAGCCCTGAATTGATGAGTCCGGTCAGCCAGAGCGGCGGCATGCGCGACTCGGTGTTCAAGCGGTTCAGTCTGCTCAAAGGAGTCAGTCGCAAGGGTAGCCGCTTAGACTTCCGGACGGAGACGCCCGTGCGCGAGGAGTGATACCTCGCAGACTTCTTTCTTTCTTCCTGATAATGTCTGGACATTCATCATTTTTTGCATTTATTTCATTCAGCGTCGACATCGGCATTGTCTTGCATTGCAGCGTGGAATCCGGCCGGTTGCACAGTCATTATACTTCACTTCTCTTGTTGGACATTATTACATTTTAAAGCACTTTCATTTCTTGACATATCCAGGCATGATATACTTTTTTAGTGAGATACCTACTTCACTTCTCTCCCTTCTGTTGGACATCTCGTTTGTTGGACTGTACATGTATATTATTATGCCATATCGGTGATTGTACAGGTAGCTGCATTGCAATGAACAGCATCAGTGTAACATTAATATTAACAGTGTTGAGTAACTATCATGTCACAGACATAAGTGATAGCCATTAAGAATAAGACTATATACTGTACCTCTATTTCATAGACAAACCAAGTACCATCAAGGCACCATTAAAGTCCATATCTAATAGGATCCTACTCAGCCGGCAAATCCATCTCCACCACCCACGGCGCATTAACAGGATGATACTGCACCGTCACCACACTCGCATTAACAAACAACGTCTCCTCCCCAACCCTCAACCTATTACCCCCTTCCCCACTAACATCCACCCTCGCACACCGTTCCTCCAACGTCCTCTCCTTATCACACTGAATCACACTCTCATTCCCCGAACTCCACTCCCTCCTTGTCGCCCCATACCCCTCATGAATATGTCCAAACACATGTAATCTCGGCCTTGCCCTCTTCACAGCCCGATACAAATGCTCACACCCCACACTCATATGATTCGGCACTACCTGATCCAGCACCCCATACGGCGGTCCATGCGTAATCATCACATCTACCCCAGGATAATCCGGCACCACCTTCCTTATCCCCCCTTCCCCATTATCCCCATCATCCCCCTCCCCCTCCTCCTCTGGAGGATTATACCTATCAACCTCCCTCGGATACGCAAACCCCCACTGACAAAACTCCGGCGTATACGGACTCGCATACACCCTCAGCACAGCCCCATTCCCCAACCTGAACACATGCGTTCCTTCCTCGAGATACCTAATCCCCGCATCCCACGCCTCCTTCCCCGTATACAGGTCCTTTATCTCCCGTAACTCCTCATCAGATAATCCCCTACCGGGCGTGAGTTTCCCCGCGGAGACGTTATCGCTTCCACTGGTGGCGGAGGGCGCCGTGTGGTCGGTGCGGTAGCGGTGGCGGTAGTGGCCGATACGTTTGTAGTACGGCTCGTCGAGCGTGATGTCGTGGTTGCCCGGGATGATGAGTTTTAGGGGTGCCGGGGCGAGTTTTAGGAAGGAGAGCGTGGTGAGGTGCTCGTGCTTGTGCCCGACTTTTGTGAGGTCGCCGGCGTGGATGAGGAGGTCGGTGGGGGGGAGGGGGTGTCGGTAGGGGGTTGTGCTGGGGGGGTGGGAGGGCGGGGAGGGGGTGAGGGTGTGGGTGTCGCTTAGGAGGAGGATTGATGTTTTCACTGTCTTTGGGTTTGGTTTTGAGGTTGGGGGGTGGGTGGTGGACATGGTGGTTGTGTTGTTGTATGGTGTGTTTTAATTGATGGTGAAGTGAAGTGGAAGTATATGGGGTAGTAGCTGGGAGGGGGGAGTATATGAAAGTGTGGTTACATCAATGGTAGGTTGGTAGGTAAGTAGGTAGGAGGGGTTAATTAACTTAAGTTAGTTAGGAGGTAGGAGGTAGCAAGTTTCGTCATCGGATAACAAGGTAGTACTAGTGAGTTAGGTTGGTATGAACTACACTACGGAGTACATACACTACAGCTGATAATTTATGGGCAAAGTGTGAACATCTGATTCATCCATCAATTCAGAGCTAATTTTCTGGAAAATGCTAACTCCGATCCATCCGGCCCTTTTAACTTAACAACCACACAACGTGAACTATTCGCTTTTGTGTATTGGATTTCTTTACTTGCGGATAGCACGCTGGTAGAAAGCCAGCTCATCACCCTCCAGGATGTATCCGTCCACGCGGCCGCTCTGGCCGGGGCGGGACGACACAACAGCGTACAGACGACCGGACTCGAACTGACGCTCAACAGCAGACTCGACCTTGCCCTGCTCAGCAAAGCGAGCAGCCTGCTTCTTCACAACGCTGTTGGACTTCTTCTCCTCGGTGGTCTCGGTCTTCTGCTGGCGACGACGGCCGATGGGCTGGCCGTAGTGAGCCTCGTACCATTGACGGAAAGGAGCAGCATCGATCTGAACGACGGCCGACTTGGTCAGGGTGTTGGTGCGGACGAGCTCGTTGTTGGAGGGGTGGTAGGCAACAACGATGACACGGGTCTTGCGGGAGATACCCTCAGAACCCCACGAGAAGTTGCCGGATTCGAGACGAAGGGCACGGAACTTCTGGTTACCACCACGGGTGCGGACCAGGTGGATTCTCTTGGTTCCGATACGGGTGTTGGAGGGCTGGCGACCCTTCTCGAACGCCCTGTTGGATTGCCGTGCGTCAGTCGTATTCTTTCGTAGTGTGATGTACTGAAATAGAGACAATAGGAACTCATGCATACCTCTTCTTGCGGTAGGTGGCCCTCTTCGCGCCGGTAGCCGAGCGCTTGTGACGAGAGTCGCGTGAGATACCCATGTTTGCTGTTCGAGGGGACTGTAGATGGCAGAAGTATTAGCGGGATTGCTCGCTAGTAGCAATAGCAGTAGTAGACTGTTGTCGATGATTGTCAATCCCTCTTCGAAGATTTTTGCTCCAATGCGTCGATGGTTGCTCGTGTGATTGTTGAGTCGATTTGAATTGAAATGGTATGTATTGTGCGTTGTGTGTGTGGCGATGCTCGATGCTGGAAATGTGTGCGAATTCGGGTATGGACGAGAAAGCGAAGAAAAAAAAAATCTTTCTTTGAGTTGTTCTTTCTTTTCAATCGTCGTCGTCGCCGCCGCTAATATTTCCCTTGCACCAAACAACTGCTCTGATAGTCTTTCTCTTCTTCTCTTCGATATACCCCGGAATGTATTCTTCAATTCGAGACCGATCGTAGATTGCACGCGCACACCGACCGTCGACGACACCGGGAAAAATCGAGAGGGATCGAAATCACGACGGATTAATTGCAACAAACTCACCTCTAATCCTGCAGCCCTTCACCAGGAACGCAGCGGGCAAGGGTCGTTGGGTTGGTCGTAAGGAGTTGAGTGCTTGTCGTCGGCTTCCGTTGAATTTCGCACTGTGGCTCGCTTGTGGAAGTTGCCCTACTACCCTAGTCTGGGATTGGTTTAGTGTGGTCCCGTGATGTGATGAGTAAGCCGCTAGTCGATGCCCGCTAACTAGCCGATAAGCGATAAGCCACTGCGCAATAGAGCAGGAGACACTAGTCTAGTAGTAGTTCAATATGTCTCAATGTGTTGTGGTTCATTAATCTGGTAGATAGACATGTTTGTTCTTCTGAATTACATACAACGTATCTGACTACTTCCGATGCTCCCTCTTCGCCCCCTCCTCCTTCACCATCCGATCAAACCTCATCCACACTGTATACCCCTCAATCAAATTCGACACCACCCAAGCGCACCACACCAACGACAACACCGGCACTCCATGCCGCCTCAACCTCTTCACCGTGAGCAAACTAGCCTCCACCACATGCGACCCGCCCATCACCGTAAGCACAAACGGCTGTGTCTTGTAAAACAGTTGCGCCAGTGGCGGAACCGCCCCCAGTCCAACCGTTTCGTAGAACAACGACCCAGGTAGGAAGTTACTGCGTCGGGAGAACGCCACCAATGCCGTTGCAAACACGAAGAAGAGGAAGATTTCTATCCCCTCTGGCCGCCGATACTCCTTGATGGTGATGTCCGACCGACCCAGTCGCGCAAGACATTCCTGGTGCATGGCTACCAGGCGGGATCGCGACTCGGAGAAACTTTCCATTGCTGGGTCGATGGGCACGGTGTAGCGTGTGCCATTGGCGCTGATGACGAGATCGGATAAGCTGATGTCTTCGAGACGGGCGGATTTGGCTTCGCGCGCCGAGACGTGGCAGTAGACTTGGAGATAGGCTGCTAGGGAGTCTTGGTGGTTGGCGTTCATGTGGGTGATGGTGAAGGAGATGTTAGAGCGGTCTGGTGCCATTTTTGCTTTTTGTCTGCTATTGCTTTTCTTTTGCTTCCTTTCTTGTGTTGGATGGGAGTTGGCGATTGATATATGGTGAGTAGTTAGGAAATGGCTGCTGGTATGCGCGGGTTTCGGCGATTGAGTGGTGGCAGTTTGCGAGACTCCTTTTTGATCCCGCCAAGAGTACCTCGGGATCGTCAGCTTCGTGATGGGCTCACCCTTCCCGAGGAACTGGCACTCCGCAATATTGAGGCCACACGTGAAGTTGCTGCTCCCTTGGTTTGAACTTTATTAATGATGTTCTGTATTGCGTATATTTGTTCAATATGGGAGCTAGCGAATGTTGGTGTCATCTCAGTGCTAGAACTGCTATATCATGCAATAAAAGTCTCACTATATATTCTGAGCACCCTGCTCATTCTGCAGGTGAATCAGCACCGTATTCTCTCTTACTATAACCACTCATGATTCTGGCAGTTAGTGTGAAAACACAGATACCAGAGCTACTAATAGTATTAGCACTTCTTCAAGTCATCATCTCTCATAACGTCCAGTATATTACTGAACTTTATAGTGTCGCTCACAATCTGCCGACACTGGATGTTACCTAATTCAACAATGTAGTATAGCGATTACTCCCAGCTATATTGATGAAGAGTTAAGAATTCTGAGTCACGGCACAATTAAGTCTACCAAGCTATAATCGAAGAAGGGGCTCCCCCAAGAACAGTATACTTAAAACGGCGAATTCCATGTCTTGACAGCCTCAATGCAAGTAGGGACATGCAATAGTATCCTGAGTAGTCACTGACTGACCAAGGTATATGTATGCTCTGGAGAAGGTTTACAATCTCGTCGAATGGGCATTGATTTTCAAACGATATTGACCATCAATGCATTCCTGTCGCTATATCGCATAATCATTGTGGAGTAACGAATGATATCGTTGTTCCTATATGAATATTATCATTAATAATGTTAGGAGTTGACTAGAAACTCAGAAGTATATCGTACACTAGTAGCTAGACTATATTTGCCATCCCCTATAGATCGAGATCTCGAACTTAGTGTATGCTACAACCAGCCAATCACTCAGATCAGTCCACAACAATAGCAGCGAGTATAAATTGGACGGTTGTTTTAGTAGCCTTGGCGACTATTGCGCAAGAAACATATATCTTACTATCAAGTCTCTTATACTACTTGCAGGAATGAGTTGGCTATGATAGCCCAATGATATCTCTGATAAGGAAAATAGGCAAACTGACATAATGGATGTCTCGATTCTGACTTTCAATATCTGGTAGCCCCAATTGAGTAATGAAAGTACTTAGAGCACCTACTATCTCATGCTTAGGCTTTACCCCTCTCCAGAATACCTAGAAAGAACTATCCCCCAGCCCTTTTCACAATAGATAGAAACCATGTGAGGTATTGAAATATATCATGTATTTAACACATGTCAAAAAAGACTCAAGTGCCTATTATCTCTTTAATATTGGAGAACTAGTAAATAGCATCTATACCTATTACGACATCGACCGAGAGTTATGAATTCAAGCATATCAAGCAAGCCCAATCAATCTCAGTGTGCTTCTTCAGATCTGAACTCCCACGACAAATACCCAGAAGAAGTGATGTACTGCTTTGACAAATGCGCACATTATATCAAGCAAGGCATGAACCATGTTCTCTAGTTCCACAGCATAACGATAATACTATAGACTTCTCCTCCATGCAGCGTACCACCACGCAAAGGTATGGTGGCAAGGACATATGCATACCTGGATCTAAATAGAGATTCTTTACAAATAGTCTACTTGTCGTCGGCCTCCCTCGCTCGTATAAGTTAGAGTATTATATCAAGATATTCATTTTCTTCATGATCACTTCGTTTAGGCTCGATCTGGTAGGTTAGGGTTGAGTACATTAGAAGTATGTGATGCATATTGTAAAATGGTATATACGTTAGATGAGTTCAGTTGCTTTGGACTTGTTCCAGTCTAAGGCATTGAAGAACGTCAGATAGATGGGTATCGTTGTGTCTTGCGAATAAGGATATTCTCTAACTATTGTGATATTGTATACTACGGTCGGCGTTGCCGCTTGATAGGCAGAAGAAATACACAGAGCAGTACTAACAAGTCAACATAATAGTATATATTTAGAGAGAAAGAATATTCTGCTTTATGATAGCTGCTAAAGATCAAGCAAACCATACCAACAAAGGTATAAGTGCGCACAGACACTGAAATATGGAGTAGATGGGTCAAAATAAGCATCGGCGTTAGCATCACCAAATATACGTAGAAACATCGCATACATCAGTACCCAAGTGCAGTTGCCACTTCTATCCGAACAATGGCAATGAAGAATAAAAAAGAATACAAGGCAATTCATTTGGCAAAACAACCGCTATTGTTGAGAGAAGAAAAGCACCGAGGAAAATCCTTTCGTAAACGTCATAACGGAAACGGAACGGAATGGAATGAAGTGGATTTTGCGAGCGCCGGCCGAAATGGACGAAAAGTGCAACGATCGCCAGGAACCCGACCGACCGACCGACCGTCAACCACACACGCGCCAGCAATGTGGCGAAAAAAGAAAAAGAAAAGAAAGCCATTCTTAACCCCGGGAATTTATCGAACGAACCATTGAACTAATTCGGCCGGAAGATTGATTTGGTTCTCATCGACGACAACCGAATACGCTCGGGATTCGGCGACGGAGGAAAGACGGATGAACATGATTGAGATGTAGCGGTGCTGGAGGCAAAGAGGCAAGAGGCAAGAGGCGAGAGGCGAAATCATGCGCTGGAAAAGAGAAAGGGTATCATGTCAACCATCGGATCTCGATCAAGTACTAGTAGCGAACGAGATTAAGTGATTTGAATGATTGCATTGCATGCATTTGGTCCGCACGCAGGCCAGATTCTCCGCCGCCGCAATCAATGTGATCAATCAGAAGCAGGAAAAGGGAGTACTTACAGCAAGGACAACGTCAAGTCACCATGGATATGAGCCTTTAATTCGACTTCAATATCCAAGTTCAATTCCAATTTCAATTTCATTCCGTCTTGGTCCTCCCAGTCATCGCCGGTTTTGCCTTCCGCTTCTTGCATGCCGCCGTTTGCGATCGGTTGTGCCGGCACATTGTCGCGGCTGCTGATGGTGGTGGGCTGGTAGCGCTCCATGGCCTGGACCTCTTCTTCCTCGTCGTCGTAATAGTCATCATCTTCATCGTCGTAGTCATCGTAGTCATCCGAGTACTCATCAGAGTAGTAGGTATCGTCTTCATCATTGGGGTCTTGCTGCCGACGACGACGACGGCGTTGTTGTTGTTGCTGTTGTTGAGGCTTTTGTTGGGTGTCGTCGTCAGAATAGTCATCCTCAGAATCGTAGTCGGAGACATCATCAGGATCATTAGCAAAGGTTTTGGTGGCTGGTTTCTCAGCCTGAGCGGTAGCCATCTTGATCTAGTAGTAGATTGTGGGGGACGGAGTAGTAATCGGGGCAGAAGATGGGATGGCGGGGTTGTGGTGAGAGAGATGTAGTGGATGGAATTGATATAATTTCCTACCAGCCCGAAGTGACTGTTAGATTTGCAGAAAGTGGGCAGAGAGCGGCATGACTTGGTTTACATACAAAAGGGAGCCCGAATGCGGGAGGCGAAGAAGAGAGGGAAGGAAGTAGTGGTTACTCTTCGTTAGGATTGCTGGATGGGGCAATTCGTCAGTCGGCCGGAGTGCGGACACAACAGACAGACAGTCAGTGAGAATAATAGTAGTAAATTGAACATGCAAAAATTGAAAAAAGGGAGTACACTCCGGAGGGAAAAGAAGGGAAAACCTAAACTCTAGAACAAAAGGAAATGAAAACCAGAAAAATGATGTATGGCCGTTTGTTTGGAGGTGTGGAGAAATGAACGTGCAGGGCTGGAGGATGGGAGGATGACGTTGTGGGCGCAGGGAGGGAGCGGCTGGGCGACTGCACCTTCACCAATGATGCTCGGCCCTTCATTTAATTAAAATTGAAGACTTTCACCATGACTGCATCATCATCATCGTCAACGGCATTGTGTCTGAGAAGATCCTCAAGTCAGCCGATGACGGTCGAGCCAGTGATCGTCATCGATGTCCACGTTGCCCGGACCCTCTTTTTTTTCTATTTTCTAATTTCTATTCTGTCTCTGTAGGTATTGTGTCTGTGTCACCATCAATAACGTGCCTCCATCGCGACACTTCGGAGACTCATTCCCTGATTGTGATACATTTGGACCATGGAACCCTCGTCTGCATTGCCGCCGGCCGAACGTGTGATCCAAGAAACCTCCCGCCAGCATCCACGGTTTTCCCACGAAAGTCTCACGGCAACTGTATCCGAGTCGCCATATACCGGGATATTTCTTTGCCATCAACTTGAAGCCGAAGAGACAAAGAAAATCCCTAATAGATACAGTTACTGTAGACTAGATCGAAAAGACAGAGAGGGGGGACCAAGTAAAGTCTGACAGGCTTTCAGGTGGACCAACTAAACCCAGTCAGTGCACTGACGTCGTATAGTGGATCCAGTCCAGTCACAGACAAGAGATGGAGATGATCCCAGACGATTACGATGCCCTTTAGCGATCCCGGCCGAAGTGCGACGATCTCTCCAATAATTCTCCGATGTACTAAAATCAAAGTACAGATACTAGTAAGTAAGATGTAGTAGGGTCTCCAGCCACGCGACGTCATCATCATCATCATCGTCATCCATCATTCATTCATCTTGCCCTGCAAGGTGGAGGATGAGTGGCACAAATGACATACTGGCTTGGATCCTCCCCCCATATTTTTCTTTTTTCTTTTTCTTTTCCATACATCGACTGACGTCGCCTCCGCCCCCCTCCCTCATCTTTACTTTCACTCTGCTCTCTACTACTACTCCCTTGCGTATTCCGCGGGTAAGTTTCAGCCTGCATCTATAAATATTGCCCGGCCATTGGACGGTCCAGCCGAGCCCTATATAGTGTACGTCCCCGTGCCCCAGACCGCCGCTGAAGTATTAGATCTCGTTGATTTCCTTCCTCCTCTTCTCTTTCTCTTTCTTTCATCATGTCTGATCAGTCCAAGCAGCCTGAGTCTTCTTCTACCAACAACCCTTCCCAAGAAGGAGAGAACAATACCTCTACCCCTTCCTCCCCTCAACAAGAGAACCCTCCTACTGGTGATCAGGAAGAACAAGAACAGAAGCCTGAGGATAACACCAACACCGACAACAACAACAACAACGACACAGAAGACAAACCCAAGGAAGAGGACAAAGAAGAAGACCCTCAACCTAAACAAGAACCTCAAGAAGAAGAAGAACCAGAACCCCAACCCAAACAAGAGGAGAAAGAAGAAGACACCAAACCCCCCAAACAAGAACCCCAATCTTCCGACTCCGAACCAGAACCAGAGCCAGAACAACGCGCCCCCCAACCCAACCAAGACCGTAAACGTCGCTCCCGACCACCCCAGAAACTCCGCCAACAACAACCACAAGACAACTACTCCGACATGGACAACAACAACCAACAAGTAGACCGCCCCCGCCGCCAGCGCCGCCAGCGTCCCCAACAGCAACAACAAGGCCAGGACGGCGGACCCCTGGGCGGTCTCCCCGGCGTGGGCCAAGCCGGCGATCTCGTCCAAAACACAGCAGGTAACGCACTGAACGGAGTAACAGGCAGTGCGGGCAAAGCTGTAGGCGGGATCCTCGGCGGAGGCGGCGGCGGGGATGAAAAGGAAGGCAAGGATGAGCAGTTGCGGTTGAGACTTGATCTCAATTTGGATATTGAGGTGCAGTTGAAGGCTAAGATTCATGGTGATCTTACCCTTGGCTTGTTGTATGTTTATCTCTCCCCTTTCCTTTTTCCTTATTATTTCCCCCATCCTTTCCTTCCCGTTGATGCCCTGCCCTGGGTTGCAACTTGATATATACCCACCTACTATGATTTATCTGATATACATCAGTTCGTGACATCGAGCGAGCGCTACACTACTACACTATACCCATACATACATACATACATACATCTTATATTGGGACATACGTGACTAATTCGTGCGGATAGGAACTGAGTGTGAGTGTATTGAGTGAAGAGTACTGGGATTTTCTTGTTGGAAAAAGTCAGTCTCGTTGGTTGAAGTATTCAGTTACTATTTCGCTCGTGTGTGCGTCTATGGTCGCGGTGTCTCGCTATACTCTTCTTTCCTGTTTACTTGTCTTCGATGATGATGCTTTGATACGATACCTTCGTCTTACTACTACAACTTACTACTACTACTTGACCGACTTGTGATTTTTCTTCATCATACATATGTTACTTATCTTATGTTCATGATTGACTGTTGCTTGATACGGTCTAGATCTGGTTGTGGTTGTCTTTTTATTTCATAACGCGATTGATGAATGATGATATTGCTTACTTCCTTTCCTTTCTTCTTCTTTCGTGTGTTATGCATGAGCAGGTGCAGGAGCTGCTTTCTGCTTTCATGGGTTCAGTTGCTTTCGTTGTGTGCTGTACAGACCTGTACTTTCCACCATACTACCAGTTCTATTCCATGGTCAGTAGTTCCTAGTACAGGATAATGAATCGAGTCTAGCCTACATCTCTTCATTCTATAGCTTCAATCTGGTATATTTCTATCGTTCATCATCTAGCCAAACGAAAAGAGAAGAAATAGATCGATCCCATCATCCATCGAATATAACCATAAGCAACATCCACCATAAACCGCACCATCTAAATAAGCATGCCCAGACCAGATCGCGCCACATGGCTAAATCAGCTCAGATCAGGCCTATTATCTTTCGCGTTCCACCACATATAACGTAAATCAAAAGAGGTAGCAAAGCAAATCAATTAGTGTAACATATCAGGTCACAACAGCTCACAGTCCAGCAATGTACATCAGCCCGTATCCTACCGTTACAATTACGGCAAAAGACATCAAGCTGGCGGGGATACCGCGGGTGAAGAAATGACGGACTTGCAGATACCGCTGACCCGTCTGGGGTACCTCGGTCATGATGGCCGCTGCGAGTTGTCAGTACATACATATTTTTCTCGTATTGTCAGTGGAGGCGACTTACTCATGTTAGGGAAGCCACTGGTCGGTAGAGCCATGGCTACCGAACACATCAATGCGCTCGCCATCACGAGCAGGTTCGGGTGCGGGTCATCCATGCCGAGTCCGATCTGTCGCACAAGCGGGAGCATGATCAGGGCGGCCACGGTGTGGGAGATGAACGTGGCAATGACCAGGATGAGGGCGGAGAACACAAGCAGCACACCATAGAGACTTAGGTGCTCCACCCGCAGGCGGATGGCATTCGCAAGGGTGTGAAGGAGACCCGAGGACGTGACGGCCTTTCCGAGGCAGAGACCACCAGCGGCCAGAATGATGATCGTCCAGAGGAAGTTGTTGAAATCCTCTTTATTAAGGATACCCGTGCCGAAGAACAGGACCATCGGAATAATGGCGATAACGCCCATGTCTCCGAAAATATGCTCGAGTTGGTGACTGCCACACCACAACGCAATTGTGGACAGCGTGACAATACTGATGAACCACTGTACTCCTGTGAACTTGTCTTTCAAGGGACGGATGGCGACGGCCGTCTCGCGACCGGGCTTGAAGGTAAGCACCAGAAGCATCCAGATCGCGACAATGGAGATAATGCAAACTGGCAGTGAGATGAAGAACCAGGTCCCCCAGCTCATGCTCGGATAAATATTCTGCAAAGCGATGATGTTTTGAGGCGATGCGATTGGCGACGCGGCACCGCCCACGTTGGCGGCCAAAGCAATACCTAGGACAAGGGACTTGGCAAAGCTGGAATCGGGCGCCAGATTACGCAACAGAGGCTGGATGATCGAGTAGCAGAGCACCGGCGAGGCGACATTGCTGATCCACATACTCAGAAACATGCTCACAAACATGTTGGTGAGAAGCAAGATGTTGGGATTGGACCCGGCTTTACTCAGGACGAACATGGCCATACGACGAGCGATATCGTACTTGGACAGCGCCGCAGCGATGGTGAAGCCTCCAAGCAGCAGCATGATGACTGGCGTCCACATGGCGCTGAAAGCAGCGGCGGTGGCTTCCTTCGGTCCTAAGCGTTCGTGGGGCTTGTTGTCGGATAACATAATACGGAGCATCACGACGAGGAAAGGAATGAGTAGCGACGTGACGAATAGAGGAATAACCTGCAGCGACAGATCAAGGTTAGCTATTGAAGAAGGATGTAGGGGATGAACTGACCTCTGTAGCCCACAGCAAGCTGACGAAAACCAGCATGGCCAGACAATTCTGCTGTTCCGGCTTCTCCATTATCGGGACGGACAACAAAATGCCAAAGACAAGTAGGATGAGAACGAGGGTGACAAGACTCAGACTGCAAAGCCACTGCGGAATCCGGATGACTCCAAATGGCGTCCTGAGCATCTTGGACACCACTTCCTGCTCATCCCCTTGGCGTCGAGCTCTGGAAGGATCCTCGTCTCCGCCCAGAAGCGTCCTGCGAATACCGACGTTCGCAGCTTGAGCCTTCCTTTCGATACCAATCATCTCTCTCCAGACCGTGTTTCGCTCCCAAACAACATGTTCCCTGAGGTGCAGGCGGAGTTCACGTTTGGCGAGGGGAATGTTACCGGTGGTGACGACATTCGCGTAGACCTCTTCGACTTTGCGAATGTTGTCATCCACCTTTTCCATGGTAGAATCTTTGAAGGGATACGTCAAAGACACGACAGAATTCATGTACTCCCGACGCAGATTGCGGTCAAGGATCTTATCGTACTTCTTCAGCGCCTTGGAGAATCCGGTCTTGTTAAGCTGAATGTACGACTTGAGTCCACAGATGGAAACATAAGTCGCAACAGCCCGCTTCTTCAGCGAGAGCCCGGAATTGTAGAGATCTACGACAATTGGATCTGAAAAGTGCTCATCGTGTGCACCCCCGCGGTGCGTGGACGGACCGCTGTAGCCCAGAATCCGAGAATCGGCACCCCAGAGCACAGAATCCCTCATGTCGTCCGTACGACTACCATCCGGATTGCTAGACTCGGCGCCATGCGACCGCGGTCGATACTGATTCGCGGGTTCGTCGTCACTGTCTGCATCGTCATCGTCATCATCGGCCAGTGTTTCACTGAATGCGCTATGACGCCGTTCCTGGTTCGATGGCACCGGACGAACAATGCTCCCAGGCCGCTGTCTGGAGCTTGAACTGGCCGTGCGACCCTTGATCATGGCATCACTCATGGGATCGACATTCATAGTATCGGCCCTGTGCGAATATTCCTCGGCATCTCGGAGGACATCCTCGACCTCTGTGAATATCTCCGCCTCCTTAGATTGATAAAACGAGCAGATCTTCTCCAACTCTGCATCCAGAGCCCGACGAAATATCGCATCAGTGTTCAAACTTCCGCCATCTAACAATGGCGCTTGTTCAACATCTACATGGTCATGTCCGGCCGATCGATGCACTTCCTGTTCTAGGGAGTAAATCCTGCACATTGAACAACAGTTAGAGGGATCCATTCAACAGAGAGAATTTCCGCCAATGTAACATGCACTCTCGAAGTGTAATGTGACATTCGCAAGATAGGAAGAAAATTCCCCCGGCGGAGGACAAGGGTGAGAGAGAGAGGGCAGACGTACAGTTTCTTGAGATTGCTGTAAGCCAAATAATAAGCACTCCAGTCCGGCACCGCATTGAACTGAATGCTATGTGAGAACTTCATCTTGTCGGCGGAACCGCTAGTCTGGTGGCGGTGAGGGTGACGACGAAGAGCTTCTATCCAATATTTGATGATAACCGGTTTGTCCCGCTGTGTAGACTTCTGAGGATGACCTTCCCGGTGGTCTGTACGATGGTAGGGAGGAGATTCAGACCCCGGGTCAGTCAGCTGGGTAGGAGGAAGAGTCGCGTGAGACTGGCGGGCAGTTGTGGCAGGTGTGTCAGGATACTGGGCGAGTTCGATGGACTGGCCGCTTGGGGTTACGTCGTTATCGTCGGGAGAGGCACCCCTCGCAGAAGCGATGCGTGCCCAGGTTCGATCGCCGGCATTCGACGACACGGTGTTGGACAGGAAGGAAAAGAGGCAGGGAAGAGCGGGGCAGCAGAGACAGCGGCCGGAGACTGTCCAGCGTATTTGTGCGAGGGTGTTGGATGGGCGACGTTCCACGTTCTCAAGTCGTGCCGCTAACACTAGCTAGTTGATGGTCGAGTATACTAGCCTGGAAGTTATCTGCAGTGCGTTGGTCGTTATCGGGAGGACGAATAATGAAGCACGGGACGCCAGCAGGAATAGTTAGTACAGTACGTACTATACCCGATCGGCGTCAGACTCTCCTTCCCCACGCGTCTAGAACAGGGATTGCACCCGATCCAGCTGTCAATGAAGCATACCGCTTAACACGCCAATGGAAAGATGCCTGTAGGAGATGAAGTGCATCCTACAGATCGCGAGGAGGCAGGCAATGCGGATCGGTGAAGCTACAGATAAGCTGCTTTCCGGGGACCAGAATTGGCCAGAATTGGAGAGGGGTCCCAGCCGCGACTAGCGCTGTTAGTCATCGCCCGTACCATTGGCTCGTGGTCAAAGTCGAGGACTTCATTAGTCGCAGCACTCACTCTCACTTTAGCTAGGCTATAAACTACCTAGCAATAGTAACTGCCTAGTAGTCAGATATTTCCTCTTGAATCAATTATGCGTAAATTCTCTAATCCAAATGCTTTCAAAACGGTCAAAGAAAATGAGGTACAGGTTTCAGATAATATACAACACCATCCAGCCATCCATCTCTTTAGCTCCTCTACTGCATACCATCATAGGTACAATGTAGCCGAACGCCCTCTGATATCATCACGGTAGAGATGGCTCTCTCCATCTCTCACTCAAGTAAACTAGAATAAGTACACTACCTCCGGCGCGCAACCAATCCAAGGTTAGAACGGCCAGCCACACCAAGCTTGTGCACCTGCTCTCTCTTTTCCCACACTCCACTGCGGCCCTCGGCGACAGCAACCAGCTCATTAGCCACGCGCTGGCCAAACAGACTATCCTTACGCTTGTCAGAGGCGTCGATGATCCACTTGATCGCGGTTCTCCGGCGCTGTCTCAGAGCGAGAGGAGAAGGGACCTGCACAGACACACCACCACCAACGATACCCTTCTGTTGACGGAGCTTGAGCAAAGGCGCGACAGAGTCGACAATCAAGGTGAGATAGAGGACGGGGTTGAGAGGGAGCTGAGGAGCGGGAGGGCCCGGGAGCAAACGGCGCCGGGGGTTGATGTTCGGAGGAGGAGCAGTGCGCAAGTGATCCAGAATGAATGCCATAGTCTAACCCAGAAAACCAGTCAGTATTAATCCTCTCAAATAGGAGGAAGTCCCTCTGCAGAGTAAACATACGTTCTGAGCCTTGCTCAGCTTGCCATCTTGCATAAGCAGCTTAGTGAACTGCTCCACTATCGTCTCGTATCTCTTGCGGAAGTTCTCGGTATTGGGAAGGTTCTCAGGCGCTTCGAACTTGAGTCCAGGGTGAAGTTCGGTGGCCTGCTGGTTGACCTGGGAGATCATGTTGGCAACGACCGACGCCGAGGCATCATCGAATTCCTTTCCCTGAAGTTCTGGCTGCAGGCGGCGAGCGGACGTCGAGAATGAACGGCTACCGGAGGGGCGCTTCATCTGATCTTGCATGACCTTGGGCATGTGCTTCAGGGCCTCTTTATCACGTTGCAGAATCTATGCGGAGATAATAGTCAATATACAGGACCCAGATACGGCGGGAGAAGCAGCCGCAGCAGCAACAGCCACAACACGGCATCCAAGAAGAACCAACGCACCTCAGAAATAGGCGTTCCCTGTTCCAATTCAGGACTGGCCGGGGTACCATCGCACTTCTTATCCATGATCTTGCTGACCTCCGCGGCCTCTTCGCTAACATGGGGCAAAGGGTCCTCGGTCGGGCCCTTGGGTCTATCCTGACCATCAGAGCCCGAGGAGTTGCACCTCCTCTGCGTCCGAACGGAAGCCGACAGGCCAGACTTCAAGCCATGGCCAGTCGAGGCCGCGCAAGGCCGGTTGGTGTTGAGGATGGTCGCAAAACTGCGTCGGGAAGCAGCCGAGCTGTTGGCGGACTGACGAAGAACGGGGACCGCCCGTGCGGTGAAAAGGTTGAGACGCGGCGGCATGGTGTGATAAAGGCCCTCAATGAACAATCAATGTCAAGGAGGATGGCAGGTGAGGAAGTCACATCGACCCGAATCTGGCTCTCTTGCCTTGGAGGCCGGCGAACGATTTTCCTCTCCACATCCGCGGCTGAGTCATCCACTGCCAAGAATTTCCTTGGATGGAATGCCTCCACAGTGATGATGACGAGGTGACGATTTCCATTGCATTATCTACTACGAACTTCTACGGGATAATCTGCATCTTATGACAGGTTAACTGTCCTATCTATGATTGCAAATCTAACAAAAGCGTTTTGGTATTCCTGATTGTCCCGATTTCCGGTCTGCAGCACAGAAACAAGTCATTGGCGACTTTTGGAAACACGGCTCTTGGCCTACTGAAATACATAATTGTAGCCTGTCTGGCATACATTGGTACTGACCCGCAGCTTGGCTGAAACACAAAAGCACCTCCCATAGTAAAACGTGAAAAAGGCCCAGAACAGCATCCGGGCATGTCTGTACAAAGCCCAACCGAGGAAGCTAGCTCGCTTGTTACAACAGCATACTCGAGTTAAACAAGATTAAGGAGAGACGACGAAGAAGTAAAGGTAGAAAATGAGAAAAGTGAGCGGAGACGCTGGTAAATAGCAGCTCAATAATTGCCCAACCCATTTAACAATATATTAGTGGTTGAATAGGGCGTCTTCGTTGACATCGTCTGGGTAGATGTAGAAGGCAATTGCCAGAATTAGATACCTGTGACGGGTTAGTAAAGGCTCCTGGGCGAGTGAAGATATAGTAGTATAAGAGCAACTTACATTCCCAAGCACAGTCCACCCTCGAGGTAATTCGACTTTCCGTCCTGAATCAGGAATGTCACGACCAGTCCAGAGATGAAGAAGGCCATGGTCTCGAAGATATGGAAATGAAGTGTCATATCCACGTTCATGATCCATCCAAGAATGACCAGGAATGGCGTGACAAACAGAGCGATCTGAAGACTGCTTCCGATGGCAACACCAATGGCAAGATCCATTTTTCCTTTCCAGGCGACAACAACAGCGGTCACATGCTCTGCGGCATTTCCAACAATGGGAATGAGAACCAGACCGATGAACGTGCGACTCATGCCAGTCTTCGTCACAATGCTGTCAATACTTCCAACCAGATAGTCGGCGCAGATAGCAACCAAGACCGTGACGACAATCAATGCAACAGTGGCCGCCCACGGACTGAGCAAGCGCTCCTCCTCCTCAGCCTCTTCTACTTCGCCGCCCTGGTTCTCTGTATCATTGAGCTCATCGTTGGCTGCCTCGAAAAGCTCCGCATGCGACTTGAGCTGGAAGTAGAGGTACATCACATAGAGAACCAGAAGGATGATGGCAGTTCCGTGCGAGAGGATCAGGATGTTGTCACGTCGTTGCTCCTTATCTTTGGAGCCACTCAAAGAGGCGTAAAGGGTGGCGGGAATGATCAGCGAAGCAGACGAAACGGTCATCAGGGATGACATTGTCGAGGCTACCGTGCTATTGAAAGATTGCTGCGAGTACTTGAGACCACCGACGAAGAAACAGCAGCCGAGAACGAGCAAAATGTTGGACAGGATGCTACCAAGCATACTAGCTTGGACCACGCGAATTTGGTTGTCTTTTAGAGCAATGATACTGACCTATCCGTGAAAGGCTTGTCAGCGCCAGGTCATAACAACTCAATAGACAAGAGTTTGAGGTATACATACGATCAACTCCACGGCATTGCCAAACGTGGCATTCATCAAGCCTCCCAGGGCTTGGCCCATGGTAGCTGCCAGTTCTTCAGTCGCGAAACTCAGAAGAGAGGCCAGAGGAATGATTGCTAGAAAGTTCAAGGTGAAAATGACCGTGCTGTCCCAATGAAGAGCACCGGAGACGATACCGAGCGGCACGAAAATGAGCAGAACATTGACATAATCGCGAACGAGAGTCGACCAGGTCAAATGAGCCACACGCCTCGGCCAGTGAGACCAGTGCTGCTTCTGCTGTCGCGGACGGAGGCCAGAGTTACTGCGAGCAATGTCGCCGAGCAATGCTGCTCTCTCATCAGGCTCCGTGGAACCATTTTCGGTTGATAGGCCCGTCATTCTCCGTTTGGGGCCCCAGGAGTAGCGTCTAAACGACTTGAAGATATTGTTGGTCGCTGTAAAAGCACGTTGGAAATTCTGTTAGCCCAGTCTACCGAGCGTAGCACCTAATAGGACGAGGCGGGTAGATGTGAAAAGATGAGACAAAGGCTGGCAATGGTTGTCATTCGCCACGGATGGTGTTGTGAGAATAACAAATAGGAAAGGAAGGCGAGTTGACACGACAAAGCAGTTTGAACGAACAAAGAGTGGGGAAGGTGTAAAGCTTATGAACGACCGGATATACTGCCACAGAGTGTACTGATTTAAGTGTGCGTGAAGAAACAACAAGCCGTGCCGATCATAGCCAGCCAGCAAGAGAGTGAAAAAGCAAAATGCAAAAGTAAACGAATGGAAGGACAATGATACCTGAATAAGAGGGACGTAGATGTGAAGAAACTTGAGGTGGGGAAACGGAATTAAGAATTAGGTAGGAGTAGGACTCGAAACATGGATGAGGAGTGCTAAGGAACGATGGTTCTCTCTCTAACACTTACCCATTGGGAAATGTCAGTCCTGTGGCGACAATCTGGAACCACAACAAACGGGGGTTGAGAGATATAAGCGATATGAGCGACTGGGTCTTCTGATCTAAACTTTTTTTTCCAGTCGACTCTTGGAAACGGGGCTTAATCGAATTGAACAGTCGGTTGCCAATGTAGCACCCCGTGATCGGATGGAGCAAGTCTGATGTTGTGGCTTGTCGCGTGGGTAGGCTTTCTCTGAACTTTGCTTGTGCTTAGCAAAGGATTATCACAGCACAAGCCACCTTGCAGGCTTGGAGAGGGCGAATCAGGAATGGCTAGAACCGTGCGACGCGTGCACACGTTGAGCTTTTTTCCCAGGGTGATAGAATGAACCAAAGAAAGGGAGTTTTGCAAGGTACAGGGGCCAAGAGATGGTGGCTACGTACTCCAACCCGTACAGATTCTAGTGGTAGCCGAAAGAGTCGCTAAAGAGTGATCACGATTCCGGATGTTCCACTGGCGGTGGTAATTGGTTGATGAGGAAATTCTGGTGGACCAAAGACTGAGGGGATGGACCAAAAGGAGGGAGGCAGCTGCACAGCCGCAATCCAGATCATCCAACGTTCCAGGGATTGATGGAGGGGGGAGGAAAAGTGTGGAAAGCTGCCAATGTGATTGTGGCAGGGTGTGGGGGGCTAAGTTGAGGAAGAGTAATAAAGTAGTTACTTCGTAGTGACTGACAGTCGTAATGCTACCTGAGACGGGTTAGAAATCTTTTTAACTTGACTCTCTGGGCAGGAAGGGTACTTTTAAACGAGAGAATGATGGGAGTTGGATGACGATGACGTTGACCACTTCGCGGGAGACAATTGGGACCAGAGGATACTGCCCGAAGCCGACCGGAGAATGATTGGATTGGAGGGGAACAGAGTAAGTAGTACTTAGAGAAGGAAAGTTTGGAAAGGAAGGACTGAAAAGTTGGGATGATGGGGTTTACTGGGTGGAAAGAGTGATAGACACCAGCGTGCGGACCAGCTTCTCCATGCCGGGTAATGGTGATGTCGACTAATGCAGAGGATAGATCGATAGAGCCTGAGCTTTTCTTCCCAGCAGCAGGAATCGGCTGTTTGTGACGAGAAGCTCCCGGACTAATCCGGGTGGGTCTGATGCTTCCAGCTCCAGCCACCTTCAATCACTTGAATTTGGATGCACAATCTCAGCTTGATACTTGATGCAGTTTAATAGATTGAATAAAGGTACTAGACTACCTACTTACATAGCATCCTTCCTTAAATTTCAAACCCCCACTATGCCAGAGTCCCTCATCATGAATAAATAAATTACTGATCAAACATACCATGTTCCTGGACTGCCGTGACACCGGATGATGGTGGAAAAAACCCACTCACTAGTTCAACTATGCATTTTGCACTGCCACGATCAGGCCCCACCCTCAGGGGAATGGCCCATGGCCCCCCCCCTTTGACGTAACATGCTCATTCGTTCGCTACTTACAAAGTTCTGGACCAACTAAGTAGCTGGTTTTGACCGTGTTTAAGATTTATGAGCTGGTTGTCGGGTGTTGAAGATTGGGAGATTTAACAACAAAACCTATCTGAATTCAGTCAACATGGATCGATCGATCATCCCACAAAGTTGCAACACGTTGCTAACATTCAACATGACATGCTGCCGGATTTGCTAATATAGGAAAATCGGAGATATTCTTGACAAAGAGTGACAGCAAGCAACGAGACAGCAGTAGTGAACTACTAACTATGACATTACCACAGCGTCAGGTAACTGACTAACTACAAATCACTTCCCTTCTCAGTAACTGTGATGCTCGTATACAACATACATGGTAGCCTACAGTACTATTTACAACAACTAGTAAAGTACTACCGACCAACGGCACTTCCCTCCGATTGGACACTACAGCCACAAAGACAGAGTAGTATTCAGAATCAATAAGCGGCTGAGACATCCATCCAGCCACGATACCTAACTTACTACTACTCCAACCCAAAAGAAATGAAATTAAACTTCAAGCCTCGAAGAAATATGTTGTTGCCAGATGGATCACGGAACGAACTTAGTAGTTACTTAGACTTAGAGCAAGACCCAACTTGATCCGTGCACTCTCTATTTTCCCGTCCAGCCCGTCCCTTGCTGTTGGACCCACTTTCACTCACCGGTTGAGGTGCAGTTACCAATCAGATTACTGTGTTTGCACTTTGTTCGATTCTCTCTATACTACTAAGTAGTATAGTAGTCTATCGAGATGGATTGACCGTGTGGACTAGTTACTTACTTCAAAATTAGCTAGTCTAAATAGAATAGAATAGATTCGGTTAGGTATACATAACAATGGAGCTACTCCCAAACCCTCAACATTCCCTCTTAATATAATAGATAGATTACTGTGGCTTGTTCAAGTAACATTCCTCAAATAAGCAGAATCACCCAAGCCACAGGAACGTAGGTATGGTTTCTTTTCCGCATCAGGCAGCCTTCTTAGCAAACTCTATGTATGTACTTATCTAGGATAAACGCATAAGCCACAGTGAGTACTTGGTGTCTCACTTATCAGATGATAAAAGATCCCCGGCTAGTCACTCAGCCTAGCATAAGAACTACTACTTAAGTATTAGTGGTTTAAGCTAGGTCACGCAGCCCACCACGTGCGGGGTCGATGGATTCCGAGTGATTGGGACACATCTCATTTTGTGTCCGCGGGAGATAAGCTTGTTGTGAGGCTGTACAGCCTTGGAAGGAGGTTGGGGCTATGCTTCGCGGGTGAGTGGCGGTGTTGGGGAGATGGCAGGGTTTAATCAATGGTACGGTCGGTATTGGCATTAGAACTTCTAACAATGATAAGAGTCAAGGATAATAGTTTTCTTTGCTATCGATGCCAATGTAGATCAAGTCATTAATAAACATCTATATCACTACGTCCACAGGATAGTCGGATATATGAACAGGTATAGTAGACGGCGCCAGCCAAAACATGTCATGCTGCATGTCTTCCAGGAAGAAATCCTGGACAATCAAAAATGCCAAACCAAATGTATCAAATGCATCATCGCTATGCTGCGTCCTTAAGCAGGACCTCCGCCCAAGCCTGCGACGTTGTTAGCAACACTATTCAGTTAAGAGTCAGGAGGGATACACTGACCCGCTGCAAATGCAAGATACCATGTACGTGATGCTCCACCATCAATCCAGCTGTAATCAAAGCTGGACTGTGCGAAGAAGTTCCACGAAGATGCAGGGTCAATCAGGGCCAGGTTGGCGTACAAGACACCCTTCCATCCTCCAGTGACGTTCGACGCAGGGTCGGTGGCGTTCGCCGAAAAGAGTGCATTCCACTCCTCGCGAACAAAGTTCTGGCTTCGTACATATGGAGACGAAGGCAGAAGGGGAAGCATGTGGATACTTTAACGAGATTAGCATGATGCACGAATAGACTTAGAGAGGACATGCATACCCTTGGATGTACTCCAGGTTGTTACCGAAGTAAGTAGTGTGATCAACCTTGTTCTCAAACAGCTTTGAAACATGTCAGTCACTAACGATCAGAGTGAAAGGGCAGGCCCTGACTTACAATGCCAGTCACCTTGTTGGCGATAAAGTTCGCAGGCTGATTCTTGTTGTCACTCTCCATGAGGAAGTAGTTGTGCAAGCTGCGTCGGAGGATTCCCAGCATCAGGTTGCCGCGGGCTTCCATGCTGGCATCGCCAATCGTCTTTCCCCACATCTTCAGAGCATATGCAAACATTGTATCTTCGGAGGTTGATTCCTCGTCCTTTCCGTCAAATGACTCGAACAAACCCTTGGCCCACGAGTGCCCATGGTACCAATCAAATGAGCGCGAGAAGGGGAAGTATGGGTCGTTTGCGGCCGAGTTTCCAGCGTCGCGAACAAGCATGTTCACCCAGGCCTTGTTTGAATCCGTAAGCCATGTCGAATCCAGCGACCCAATAATGGCAGCAGCATGGATAAAATATCCATAGTGGAAGTGGTGGTCATTGTAGTAAGTGTTTCCAAAGTCAGCACCAGAATCGCCTCCATAGCTGGCAGAGGACACCACTCCCCTCCATACGCTGTCATACACCAACGGGAACTGTTGTTTGTTGTCGACAAACCGAGAAAAGGCGGTCTTCAGGTTCTGCAAAGCCGAGGCTGCCAGGTCAGGGTTACCTCCTAGCTTGTTCACTGTGTAAACAAGAGTTGCGAATTTGCTCAATGCCTTCCCACTGTAGTACATGCTGTTCAGGTCTGTCTGTTGGTCGATGCTCTGGTTGAGCTCGGTGGGCGCCACAGAGAGGATGACTTGTTTGGCAGCAGCGCTCAGATTGTTGACGTTACCGGATGATACAGTCCACGGGTCGAAGCCCATTTCCGTCGGAAGGTTCGGCTCAAGCATCGTCCAGGTTTCTCCTACAACAGCAGTTGCATTACCCTTTGTCGTTGTCCGAAGCGAGATGCTGG